TGCGGTGCATTGTATGGGAACCTCAGCTTGGGCAAGTTACCCTGTTGACATCTGCAGCTTTTATTCCTGAGACACGAACTAGGCTGGCTGGCTGCTCAGAAGAATGACCCAAGCTGAGTGATTATGTTGGAACAAGCAGGATCTCAGCTATAAAGAAGTATAACAGCCCGGCTCTATGAAGAGGACTGGTGTACCATGTGCATGCAACAGGGAGCAAGCGCAATAATCCAAAACAGAATGTGTGTGCAGGGAAGAAATGAGACAGAGCATGAAAAACTAGATAGTAACATAAATCTGTTAAGTGCTGTGTATCCTTCCAAGCAATATAATAAGCCAGCTTATTAGGAGACAACATCATCCTAATTTCAGCTTCTCCCTCTTAGCAACTTAAGAGTACTGCTAGTCTTAGAAAGACAGGCATTTGGTCCAAGGCTGAGCTTGGTTTGGACATACGTACTGACAATCAGGAGACATGTGGGTGTGTTATAACTATGCCCGACAGTAAAACAAATTCTTAAAGGAATTTTATATTCCTGTGACTTTCATCATAGTAGTTGAGATCCATCAAGTAAGTGCTGCTTCCACAGGTATTTCCTCTGAGGTTGTAGGTAGTTAAGGCTTGGCGGTCGGAAGATATCGCGCTGTACGGAAAGATAGGACACCCCCCCAGCTCCAGATAGCCAATAGCGTTCAGCTCATGATGTAAGCAGACGGAAGCGACGTTGTAAACCCAAGCTATATAACACTGTGTTGTTCAGCAATAAACGCCATTTGCCATCCACCACATTGGTGTCTGTGAGCTAATGGCCCGAGCGGCTTGCGGTCGGTCGTTGTGTCGTTCCTGAACCAGGTCGCCACGCCTCCAAAAGGCAACAGAGGTGCTCACGTTCCTTCATCACCTCTTTCCTGTGTGAACTTTGCAGCCAGCAAAGAGACAAATTTCCCCTCCCCATTCCCAGGATAAGCCCTTACAGGAGTGGGTGGCATTTATGAAGTTACCCTGTAACTTAGCTGACTGGCCTTTGCTAAGGTTTGTTTATAGTTAACGGAAAGAGAAAGGTTCCTTCAGACATCAAGTGAAAGCACTTTAAGGTTTAGCTCTTTAATCTTTATCTGGTGGAGTCACTCTTGCTTCACTGAATGCAAGAATTTAAAGAGATGAGCAGACTAACTCAGACTGGTACCTGAAGTTAGCAGTAAAAACACTTTCTTAGAGAGTAGATATGGTCTCTAAACACTTTTTAGAGACTAGATACGTAATTCCCTCATCTTCCTTCAATGAAATGAAGCAAAGAGATTGTATGGACTGAAATACACGTGCACCAATCAGTGCTACCAGCCAGTCTTGCTGTGGAAGCAGCAGGGTCATTTTGCCAGTGGGTTTTCTACAGGAGATTCTTAGCTTTTTTAGAAAGTTTTTCAGAACTCAGGGCAAACAGACCTTTCTTTCTGAAAGTTTACTTTTAGCCTTTCCAGCTCCCAGCCCAACTATCTGCATTGTTCCTCTATGGCATAGAAACCAGAGCTGAACATGGGAAATTTAGGTTAGGTATCAGGAAGAATTTCTTTACAGAGAGGGTTGTGAAGTATTGGAACAGGCTGCCTAGGGAGATGGTGGAGTCCCCATCCCTGGAGTTGTTTAAAAAACGTGTAGATTTGGTGTTGAGCAACATGGTTTAGGGACCCTGACAGTGCAGGGTGAATGGTTGGACTCGATGATCTTGAAGGTCTCTTCCAACCAGATGATTCTATGATTCTATGATTCTAGGATTCTATGCAGGCCCATGTGACATGATCCTTTGTACTGAAGGGCAGGAAGGGCAGCATGGTCTGCACTCTCTTGGGTGGCTGCAAGCTGCCCTGAGGGCCATCCCCTTTCAATCTTGACACAGTCAATGCTTGATTATCCACTTCGTGCTGTGCTGGAGCTTGCTGCTCCTGCAGCAGAGTCAGCAGAGGGAAAGGAGACCTGTACCATGGCTGCTCCATCCTCTAGTCAATTCAAATTGAAAAAGCGTCTACACAAGGATGCCAAAGTGGAAACTAGACTGTCTGCAGTGTGGGCATAGTAGCAATTCCAGCGGAGGTGTATCACAAAACTCAGGACAGTGGTGTCTTAAAAACACTGAAGCTGGACACGGTTCAAAGCCCTGTTATGTGCTGGGTCAAACCATTCTTTAAACCATCTGTTTTGTCCTAATCTAAAACTTTCTTTGGAAGTACAGAGCTGCCTGAGGTCTTTGAAGTTTTACAGGAGCTTAAAATGAACTGTCTTGGCTAGCAGCTAATATAACTTCCTGAGCTATCATTCTTGTTGTCTATGCCATGATAAAGATCCCATAGGATAATACTTGGTTTTGCTAACTGGGTACCAAACGCCTTGCCAGGCTACGGCTGATAGTAACAATCTAAAGTGAATCACATTGTTGAACAGCCACAGGAAAGTGTGTGCAAGTCCTGCAATAAAGCCTTTTGGCTATTTTATTTTATTCTACAAATAAAGACAACTGTCCATCATTAAATGGAAAAAAATAATAGTTTGAGTTGTATAGAGCATGAAACAGTAGTTCCCTTCACAAAAACATTTCTAATTCATTAGTTTATTACAAAATATCCACTCACAAAAAAGCACAAGCACAATCTTTATACTTGTGAAATGAGTTGATATTTCATATACAAAATAATTTCCACATAATTCCATATAACTTTATTTTATATAGAAATAGGTCATTATTACAACAGCTGTACAATACACTACTTTTTATTTAATAATTACATAAAATCTTTCTTAGAAACATATCAACAGAAAACATACAAAAAAAGCGAAAAGTGCATTTCTTTTTTTTTTTCCTCCCCAAAGGAAAATTCAATCCTAAATGTTATAATGAAAGAGATATGTAATAGTCTGCAGCATCCCAAGTCAGTGGGCCAAAACACAGTGCATATTTCTCAGAGAGAGACTTGCAGTGGGTGAGTTCAGTTTGAAGAAGGATCCATGTCATACTACTGGAGAGTTGCATGATTGTGCTTACAGTTTGAGTTCTCCTTTGCAATCACAATTCATATAGAAAACAGTCCAGTGTGGGTTGTGGGTTTTTTTTTTTGTTTCTAGTCACAAAGAACAGTTAGGGTAAGCTGCATAATACTTCTCAGATTCTAAATCGAGGGTTATGAGCTGTAGACCATCTTCACCAATGACTGGGCTTCCTCCTCCATTGGATGTGCTAATTTGGCCACAAGAGTAAGGAAACAAACTTCTCTTTACAGAAAGTGCCTAGGTTTTGTCCTCTGTGCAGTTGTGCAAAATAATAACAATAATCATAATAAAAATAATCTTTTGTTCTCTCCTCAATAGACCTTTGACGCAGTGCTTTTCATACACAAAAGAAGAACTGAAACAGTGAAGGCCAAGTACCTCATGAGTCTGTCGACAGTCTTTTGGAATTGCCAGATAGCTTTCAGAGTGACACGCCGAGATTGAACGCCTCCTCCCGTGCACCCCTTGATGATGGAGGCTGCACAGGGTAGTGTTCCTTTTTCCTTTTGCTCTGTCAGGACATACTGTGCTCACCAGACAGTGCAAACTGAATCCAGCATGCCCTAAGTGCACTGCCCGTGGCAGTCTGCACTCTGTGGCGTACTTCTGTCACAGAGCTTTGAAAGAAACGCTTGTGCAAAAGCCGAAACAGTAAGTACAAAGTCATTCTCTTCTGCCCCATGTGCCCATTGGTTAAAGCTAATCGTGCATTGATTGTGCTGGTGGGACTCTTATCGCAGTGGCTGTGGTAAATTCGATGATTCTGATAAGCTATTGCTTCTTCTTGATGTTAGTTGTTGCTGCTGCTGTGTCTGATGATACCCCATATTTCCTTGCTGTGGCGAGTAGGATGGCAGGAGCAAAGAATCGGGTTGCTCATTGTGCAAAGAACTTGGTGTTTGCACCTATGGATAAAATAAAATTCATCGTGGTGTTTGATTCTTTCACCCGTTAAAGCTCTTCGTCCTCAGTGCACGAGGTGCTTAAAAATACTACTAGTTCGCTGGCTTTTATTTCTGGGGCTGTTTGGCATGGGGTTAGCTTACCTAATGCTGGAAGGAATGGACATAAATTGCAACAAAGAACATTAAAATTAGGCATTGAGAAAGGTTTTCTAACAAGAATTCCCTGCCTAGGATTTGCAGGTTATCCTGAAAAGCCTGTTTAGGAACAGGGTGGGCAAACGTGTCAGAAATGGCACAGGTGGATGATAGAAATGAAACAGAAATGAAACAGAATCCTAGTGTGCCTCATGCTGTCCCTTCCAGCCCTTCCTTTTTTTGAGTTTACAGTAGGGTGTGACCTTGCAGTGGTGAAGTCGATGTGAATTTTGCAGATGCTTTATTTGGAACGGTATCTGCCATAGTTTTTTCATTAATTCTCAGCTATGATAAGGATTTCATTTCAATAACAAGAGTTTAATCATTTGAGGTTGGTGATACTCTTTCAACGACTCCAGTGGATACGTGATCAGGTTTTATAGACTGAGTTCAGCTCCTTTTGAGTTAATACTGAGACACCTCATTTTCCCCCTTCCCCTTTACTTTAATACGTGTTGAATTAGGTCAAAAAATAAGTATATTTACATCTTCAAATCACCTGGTTCTTCCAGGCAGTTTGCTCCAATTTATCTTCTTTGCCTTGTGGAGTTGAGAAAATACGGTAATTTACTGAAGGGATCCAGATATCTGATCCAGATCTCATTTTATGTCGATGCTGGTAATTAAAAACGGTCTTTTGACTTGTAAACTAAGCAAATTTTATACTGAATAAAGAGTACAGAATAAATCCTAAGGCAGCAATTTTCTTCGTCTAGAAACACGCTTTAAATATATCCAGGATAATCTGATTATGTTTCCTATGTACAGAATTAGTAACTTCCTTTGAAATATTCTGACTCTTCTCACTGCTCCCTTGCTGTACTGCAAGGGCACCCGACACCGTATCGGTGTCTCGCACATCTCAGTATCTCTAGAATGGCCACTTCTGCCATCATCGGGCTCCCGCTGAAACCCGGGGCCCCGTTTGCACAGCCCGTTCTCCTTATTACTCTGTGCGTATGTTTTTTACACCGTCCTCCCTGTCCCACCCTACCTGCAGGTAGCGTTGCTGCTGATGCTGTGGGTGCTGGAGTTGCATAGGTGGCAGAGAGGATGGCTGGGAAGGAGGTGTAGTGGCGAACCCTTGGTTTAACACTGCTTGTCCCATCAGTACAATTGGAGAGCCGCTGCTGGAAGTCTGCACTTCCAAGCTTTGAAACATTTGTTGGGTTTGAGAGTATCTGTGGAAGAAAGAAGTAAACCAATCAAGAACAAACTGTTGGAATCTAAGGTCTTCTTGTAGGATAGGGGTGGAAGTCCCTGGTCTTCATAAGTAATTCCTTATAAAGGATTTCAGTGGACAGGCCCTGCTAACATCGAGGACAGCACCGTTGGCAGCACTGTTTTTGCCTTACTCTGTGCATGACCTGGACTTGGAGGGCCGCATACATCTCACTTCAAAATCCAGACCACATTTTAGATTCGTTAAAGATTCTGGTTTGTGCATTGTCTTCTCTTCAGCCACAGCATTCACATCCCAAGCTCATTAAACCAAACGGCCTTTGATTCTGCATGAATACGCTGTGCTCTGAACGGCAGCGGCGGTGAAGGAAATACACCTCTCGTTCTGCTGCCTGTGCTCCCCGTGACTGCCTGCGGGGGTGGTAATCTCTTGCAGAAGGAAGGGTAGGGCTGATTACTTCTAGAGCCACTCATGTACCTATTGTCAAGTACGGTCCCATTGCTGTGAGCCACGTTGTGGGAACAGCAGAAGCCTCTAGAAGTCCGCTGAAGCGAGGGATGGGCCAGAAACAAAACACTCGGCTCCTCTTGCCAGTCTGCTTTTGCGCAGCAGAACTTAAATATGTGTTGTTTTGTGGAAGGCTGTGGGCAAAACCGCAACGGAGCTATTGCCAGCCCAGTCTAATTCTGTTTATCCTGTAATGGGTGATGAGATCATAGTGTGGCGTGTGTTTGCTCAACAGCTGTTCAACATTAGGGGTTAGTCAGAAATGCTACAGTTTGGGTACTTGTACTAGGATGTGAGCTCCTAAAAAAGGGTCTCATGAGTCAGGAAGTCCACAGGAACTGGGAGATGTATCTTTGCAAATCAAGCCTCTTTTATTTAGGTGCGTGAAAGCAGATCTAAAACGCTGTGCATTTAGTTGAAAAGTTTAACTCAAGATAATCTTAAACAGCAACAGTGGTGTTTAAAAATAGAAGTACTGAATACCTACATTCCTGAGGTAACATACAGAATTACTTGTATAGAAATGATGTCCAAATGGTTGCCTATTATTTTGGCAATTCACAATTTAATTATGGTGACAAAAAACAGTTAAGGAAAAACCAAAAAATTTTCAGACTGGTGTTTTCTGCTTCCTTCATCAGAGTTTTGAGGAGGCAAACAACTGAAGTGGTTCGTTCAGCAGCTTTTCCGAGAGTGCTCAGGCGCAGGGGCCTGTTGGTTCTTTCTGTTCTGTAGGTTAGGTGTAGCTCCACTGGTGTTACACCAGTGTTTCATGGCCCAGCGAGCAGTGGTTTTCTTGGCACTGATCATTTCAGCTGGGCCAGTGCTGACTTTCTCTCTCATAAGTTCCAGCAGTGAAGCATCATGTAAGGGAGAAAAATTCCCCCAGCCCTGGCTTGTTAAAATGCCGCTGGCACGTTGTGTTTCTCTCTGTCATCCTTCCTGATGTGACTAGGCAGGGTAAGGCTGACCCTGACACTGGAAGGCAGGCTCAGCACAGTAACACGTTCCCGATATTTATAACTCCTCGGTCATCTCACTAAAGGAGGCTATTTCCCTTCACAAGCAACTCTGATGTTTTACCTTTGACAAGTCACATACTTAGCCTGAGATCCCGCCATGCTGAGGTCCGAAGGGTGTCTTGCATTACAGGACCCAGGCATCATGGGCTGAATGGGCTGGCTGAGCAACAGTCTGGCGCATGGAAAAAAGAAAAAGTGACGTTGTTTACAGAGGGACAAATCCCACAGTTTGAAAACAGAGACAGGACGCTCCCGTAGGCACGGCACACAGCTGAGTGTTCGGAGATCTAAGCTTGGCTCGCGGCCGTGGAAGGCGCGTCCTCTGCTCTGTGAAGTGGGGATGCGGGGCAGCGTGTTCCCTCTCTGGTAGCGTGGGTGCCTTGCCGGGAGGCTGGGCACTAGGATTTCGGGAGAGTGAAATTTCTTTTGCTCCTGCTGGTGGGAATGGCTCGTATTTGAGCTTTCTGAGTATCAGATTGGATTTTTTTCGATTCGCTTCTCCAGTTGGACGCCAAGGTGGATCCTCCACCGCCCACCCAGGGAACCCTGAGACAGGGACGGAAAAGCGGAGAAATCCCACCACCCCGGGGCTGGCGGG